GTTATCGTCCACTCTCTTACTATCAACTCTGTAATTGTTAACTGTTGTCGTAAACCGTTATCGTCAACTCTGTTATCGTCAACACTCTTACCGCCAACTGTTATCGTCAACTCTGTTATCGTCAACTCTGTTATCGTCAACTCTGTTATCATTAACTCTGTTACCAAGAACTCTGTTGTCATCAACTGTGTTACCGTCAACTCTGTTACTGTCAACTCTGTTATCATCAACTATTAACTGTTATCGTCAACTGTTAACTTACTGTCAACTCTCTTACTGTTATCGTCAACTCTGTTATCGTCAACTCTGTTATTGTCAACTCTGTCACTGTAAACCCTTTTTACCATCAACTCTGTTACTGTTATCTTCCACCTTCTTACCATCAACTCTGTAATCGTTAACTGTTGTCGTAAACTGTTACCATCAACTCTTTTACCAAGAACTCTGTTATCACCAACTGCTCGATCGTGTAGATTCGCACTCTATAACATCAGAAAGATCCGACCCTTCTTATCTGAACAAGCAGCTCAACTCCTTGTTCAAGCTCTTGTTCTCTCCAAACTGGATTACTGCAACTCTCTACTAGCCGGGCTTCCAGCTAACTCTATCAAGCCTCTTCAGCTGCTCCAGAACGCAGCAGCACGAGTGGTCTTTAATGAAGCTAAAAGAGCACATGTCACTCCGCTGCTCATCCGTTTGCACTGGCTGCCAGTTGCTGCTCGCATCAAATTCAAAGCTCTGATGTTTGCTTACAAAGCGACTTCTGGCTTTGCTCCTTCTTATCTGCTCTCACTTCTGCAGATGTATGTGTCCTCCAGAAACTTGTGTTCTGTGAATGAACGTCGCCTCGTGGTTTCATCCCAAAGAGGGAAGAAATCACTTTCGCGAACTCTCACGCTCAATCTGCCCAGTTGGTGGAATGAACTCCCTAACTGCATCAGAACAGCAGAGTCACTCGCTATTTTCAAGAAACGACTAAAAACTCAACTATTTAGTCTCCACTTCACTTCCTAATCTGCAATTGCCTCTCTGAATATCACACTAACTGTACCAAAAAAATAAATAAAAATAAAAAATAAATACTAATACTACTAATACTTCCCTTAGACTTTACAGACCTGAAACTTGCCTATAGCACTTATTCATTGTTGCTCTTAGTTGTGTAAATTGCTTCCTTGTCCTCATTTGTAAGTCGCTTTGGATAAAAGCGTCTGCTAAATAACTAAATGTAAATGTAAATGTCATCAACTATTAACTCACCGTCAACTCTGTTATCATCAACCCTGTTACCAAGAACTCTGTTATCGTCAACTATTAACTCACCGTCAACTCTGTTATCATCAACCCTGTTACCAAGAACTCTGTTATCGTCAACTCTGTTATCGTTAACTGTTAACTCACCGTCAACTCTGTTATCGTCAACTCTGTTATCATTAACTCTGTTATCGTTAACTGTTAACTTACTGTCAACTCTCTTACTGTAATCGTCAACTTTGTTATCATTAACTCTCTTACCAAGAACTCTGTTATCGTCAACTGTGTTACTTATTGTCAACTCTGTTATCGTCCACTCTCTTACTATCAACTCTGTAATAGTTAACTGTTGTCGTAAACTGTTTTCGTCAACTCTGATATCATCAACTTTGTTACCAAGAACTCTGTTATCGTCAACTGTTAACTCACCATCAACTCTGTTATCAAAAACTCTGTTACAAATAACCCTATTATCGTCAACTGTTAACTTACCATCAACTGTTACCATCAACACTGGTATCATCAACTCTGTAATTGTTAACAGTTGTCGTAAACGCTGTTATCATCAACTCTCATCGTAAACAGTTATTGTCAACTCTGTTACCATCAACTCTGGTATCATCAACACTGTAATCGTTAACAGTTGTCTTAAACTTTGTTATCTCAACTCTGTTACTATTAACTCTGGTATCATTAACTGTTATCGTCAACTCTGTAATCGTTAACTGTTGTCGTAAACTCTGTTACCATCAACTCTGTTATTGTCTACTCTGATCGTAAACTGTTATTATCCACTCTGTTATTGTCAACTGTTAACTTACCGTCAACTCTGTTACCATCAACTCTGTTACTGTTATCGTCAATTCTTACCATCAACTCTGTTATCGTCAACTCTGTTATTGTCAGCTGTTAACTTACTGTCAATTCTGTTACCATCAACTGTTACTGTTATCGTTAACTCTCTTACCATCAACTTTGTTATCGTCAACTCTTATCATAAACTGTTACCCTCAACTCTGTTACCGTCAAAAATGTTATAGTCAACTCTATTATCGTCAACTCTGTTACTGTTGCCAACTGTTACTGTCGACTGCTGACTCTATTTTCAACTCTGTTAACCGTTATGGTCAACTTTTTTACTATTGCATCTCTGTTACCGTCGACTGTGTTGTTGTTGATTCCTTTAATCAATTGTTATCGTCAACTGTTTGTTTAAAATTACAAAAAATTACCAAGTTAAACCATTAGCAACAAACGTTTCCAGTCTTGCATTAGTTCACAATAATAATGGATTAAGTTTACTGTAAATAACACATCTATTATATATCCAGGAAAATTAAGGCACATGATATAAATGTACCTGCTATTCTGGAGCGAGTCCTGTACTCGGGTATGAGATAATTGTGTAAATGAATGTGTTCTTCTCCTCCACAGACGTCCTCTGTTCATATCTGGGATTCTCTCTGACTCCGTAAATCTACAAACATCATGAACAGCACCTGATTTCATTAAAGCTCTTTTAATAAACGTAACCTCATGCTTGCTGCTGTTTTCTCTATTATTGCTGAAGGTCTTCAAGTCCATCGCAGACAGGAGATTGAAGTGAAATGAGCTGAAATTGTTGTTTTTATTTCTGTCCTCGAGCGTCACTTTAGTGGAAATGTGTGTGTGAGAGAGTCATTAACACACAAACACACTGCAAACTCTCTCAAATAAACAGAGATGTATAAAGTACTAGAGACCCATACTTAAGTAAAAGTACAAGTGCTTTATCAAAAAGTGACTTGAGTAGAAGTAGAAGTGCTCTTTAAGCACCATACTTAAGTGGAAGTACAAAAGTATTCAACATTTTTTGTACTTAAGTATTGCAAGTAGTTTATTTCAAAATTTACTACTCAAGTACTGAAAGTAAAAGTACAAGTATTGTGTAATGTAGTTATTAAAGAAAGCAGTCAAAATACACTAATTGTTTTGTTTATTTTAAATATCTTTTTTGGGGTACTTAAGCAGAATGAAAAGAAACATGGCTTATGATACTGTTTTTCTCTGTAAATAGTTTCTATGGTACAAGAGCTCACATCGTCAGGCCCTCTTACCAGAAAATGCCTTCACTGATGAGATAATTCAGCATGTTCACTCACATACATACTCTCTCTCTCTCTCTCTCTCTCTCTCACACACACACACACACACACAAACACACTGCCCTGCACACACCTAAATGTACACTCTCTCCCCACTCTCACACATTCATACACTCTCACACACACAGTTCTCTCTCTATCTCTCTCTCACACACACATTTTTGTGAATTGTGGGGACATTACATAGGTTGCAATTGTTTTTACACTCTCTCTTACACACACACACACACACACACACACACACAGACGCACACACAGGTACAATCACACTGTTGTTTTCTCTTACACATTATTCACTCACACTTTGGGAGTTTTGAAGTTTGATTGGTTAATACCACAATGAACAGGAGTTCTGTCTTCTGGAAGCACTCGTGAAACTAAACTAAACGAGCAAACTAAATCCTGCTTCACTAATTCACTTGATTTTGATTTTATTGTAAAAAAAAAAAAAAAAAAACAGGAAAACGTGTATATTACTGTGTTAAATGAAAATCTGAAATATTTTATGGCTTATGGCTATGATTTAGTAATAATTGTTATTTATTTTTATCATGTTTTTAATGAAATTGGTCTTACAGTTCATATTTTCTGTAGTATATTTATTAATTCTGGTACTTTTACCATAAACCAACATCTCAACCATTTGGTAGAGGCTGATATTTTAGAAATAATGTGATGTGTTGAATAAAAATACACTGATTGTGTTAACTAGCGACATTAGGAGTTAAGAAATGCAATCAAAGAAATTCTATAGCTTTTGTCTTGGTGTGACAGTTAAAGGGTTTTTTGTAATAAAAATTTTGTCCTTTTTGTCCTTTAATACAGCAGTCAGATATACGAACTGTGCCCTTAATTTGACCTGCTCAAAGAAAACACTCTTTCTGGATGTATCAAACAAAACTCATGCACAGAAGACAGCACGAGCATTTACAGCTAATAAACTCATGTCAATATTATCCCGCCTGCTTATTAAGCGCTGACAGGCGGGTCTATGATTGGGTATTGTCCAGAAAGGGCTTTAGAAATATAAGCGCTGTTCACCCATGGCGGGAAGAATACGCGATTATCACAGGTAATAGACACAGTGGAGAAAACTTAATTGCACATGAGGCACGCTCATGTCTGGATTCTCAGCTTCAACAGCTGAGAAGAAATGAAAAGTTACCTTACAAACTGGCCAGCGGGTCAAATGTCCAAAGTGAGAGAGCGAGAGATAGGCAGAGGTGAAGTTTTACAACATTTCTCCCTAACAGTAAACTAGCGACTGGAGTGCTGTGCCGCCTTCTCTCACCCTCGCGCCTCCGTCCTTCGCCATAGTATTGCGACATCGCGCATAGGAGATAAATGACGTCATCACGTAATCACCGGTTATGACCTATTATTACTGAAGTGATATCAATCATTTTGACACCCATAGTAACGAGTAACGATGCAGCACATAAAAAATCTATCGGAGTAAAAGTATTAAGCTCATGGAAAATATGTACTTAAGTAAAAGTGGAAGTAGGAGAAAAAAATAATACTCCAGTAAAGTACAGATACTGCCTTTTAGTACTTAAGTACAGTAGTGAAGTAGTTCTACTTCGTTACTATACATCTCTGCAAATAAACCACTTTTATATATTAAATGGAGACGAGCGCTGAACTGAAAAAGGCTGCATTATTACAAATCTCATATAAAATAAAGCAAACACAAACATGGCCACCAGTCTGTTTACTGAGGGCTGGTTTACAAGTGTGTTTCAGACCCACTCCTGGGGTCCGTTCTTCGTACGTGGATTACTCAGTTAGCTGGATTTGGATATTGACGATTTGACACGATCCAGGATCGTTTCGTTCTTCAAAGCTGATCCGAGAGTTGTTGTCATGGCAACAGATCTGCTAGGTCAAACCTGATCGGGAGCAGGTTCAATTCATATAAACAGGATTAGATCGGCTCAGTTCAAGCAAAGATAATACAGAAAGTATGTACCGAGTTTGATATTTTCTTACAGTAAAAGTTATATACAATTGGGAAAATAGTAGTTTTTAACTATATATATAAAGTTATAGTCATTAATAAAATAAATAAAGTTTTACATATTAATAAAACGTATGTAATCTGCACCCTCGAAATGAAAGTAGACTGCCACCTGGTGGTGCAAAGAGAAAACTTATTGATATGAACTTTTTAGATCGCTTTAGTACAAATTGTGTATGATAGAAATGCACAATATGTCACTTTTTTTAAAAAGCAATAATACATTTACAGTCATGAACATGTTTTGACAGTTAATATGCCAGTGATTTGATGCTTCACAAAAGTTGCAGACGCCTTTACCAATATCAAAATGCTTTTGTAAACATCCAGTTATTCTTTACACCGATTAAAAAACGGCTACTATAATAAAGAAAATCTTTTCTAAATGTAGAACTAAATACATTGATTTGCATTGAAATACATGATGAATACTCTTGTCTTGACAAATGAAAGTGTAAAGCCTGCAGCTCAAAACAAATGTGAAGTTACTGCGTGTCATATTTTACAAGCCGTTTACTGCTAATTTGATGTAATTTTGCTCACATGGATAATTGAATATTAATCAGATGATGTCATTACGCTGCTGTGCCGTCAGCCAATCGTTGCATTGCTGATCATGATTTCGAGGATCGATAGATCTGTCCTTAACAACACACGCAGCGATCTCAGATCAGTTCATCCAGACATTCTAATCTGATTCGCGAACTTGTTTGAAGAACCAAATAAGCGAGAGATCAGTTATCAAGATTAAAAGATCCAGGATCTGCCAAATCATCTTAGATCATTTAAGCGAGGTACGAAGAACGGACCCCTGCTCTTCTGGATGGCACAGACGTGTGTGTGTGTGTTATAAACACAAGGGACGTGTATAATGTCATGGGCACTGCTGGAGAAGGTGAATTGTGAGGACGTTCTCAAAGTACTTCTAAATCACACAATAAGGTTTCAGAAGGCAGAACTGCACAGCTTCCTGTAGCGGTGAAGTTGTAACCTGGGCACAGGTGAGAGGACATTCAGTGTGTACAGTAGAAAAACAATGACAACCTACGGAATGTCCCCACAACTCAGAAAAACAGACCTGCTTGTGATATTGTGTTATTGTGTGTGTGTGTGTGTGTGTGTGTGTGACAGTGTTTTTGTGTGCAAAAGAGAGTGTATGTGCGTGTACTAGTTTTTATATCCTTGTGGGGACTTAAACCCGAATGCACACAGACTCATGGGGACTTGTGTGTGTGTGTTCCTCCAACATTAGTCTTCCTCTCTGTCTTGGAGTGTGTCCAGCATCAGTCTTCATCAGAGTCTTCCTCTCCGTGTGTGTGTGTGTGTGTGTGTGTGTCCAGCATCAGTCTTCATCAGAGTCTTCCTCTCCGTCTCGGTGTGTGTGTGTTGAGCAGCGGATGGATGTCATTAGCTGATCCTGGATCTGTTTTCTGGGGTTTTCCTCCAGATCTGTCTTCACAGCTCCAGACTCTGACAGACGCCACTCCAGCTCTGCTCAAACACACACACACACACAGATACTCAAGAAGGGAAATAACACACTAACATGATCAATCACCACAGATATTAACCGTATAACCCCAGAATATTGACACTTCCTCTCCATTTCTGCTGACACATTCGGATGCTCGGCTCAGACAACATGAAAGCATGGATCATCCTGCCTTGTATCAGCGGTTCAGGCTGGTGGTGGTGGTGTAATGGTGTGGGGGAGATTTTCTTTGGGTCCATTAGTACCAATTGAGCATCAACGCCACAGCCTACCTGAGTATTGCTGCTGACCATGTCCATCCCTTTATGAGCACAGTGTCTCCATCTTCTGATGGCTACTTCCAGCAGGATAACGCAGCATGTCATAAAGCTCAATCATCTCAGACTGGTTTCTTGAACATGACGATGAGTTCACTGTACTCAAATGGCCTCCACAGTCACCAGAGCTCAATCCAATAGAGCAGCTTTGGGATGTGGTGGAACGGGAGATTGGCATCATGGATGTGCAGCCGACAAATCTGCAGCAACTGTGTGATGCTGTCATGACAAT